TAAATGTTGATCCTGCCAGCAAGACTGTTCTTCTACTTCCTTCAACAGGATGACAACGCTGTAGCATCACTATTCACTTTAAGGCAGGGCCCCACAAATCCCAGGCACCAAGTCGCCATGGAGGCTAGAAATTGTGTCCTGATCCCTGGGCCTTTGCCAGCCCAGGCGTAACCAGTTGCTGACAACTCTATAGCTGAATGATGGCTACAGTGCAGTCGGATAGTTCTGGGAGGGCATCTATTGACTTCTTCCCAGAACCCTGGCCCCCCCTGCATACTCCAGGGGCATGCATCGGGTGCACTCTGTGATCGAGGTAAGGGGCCAATCACAGTGGCCCTTTACCATGTGATCAGCTGTGTCCAATCACAGCTAATCACATTGTAAACAGACTTGCCGGTAACCAGCATTTCTGACAGACATATTTTCACTGATAATCAGGGCACTGATCTTCAGTGCAGTTCATCAGTGCAGCCTATCGGAGCCAACAGTGCAGTTCATCAGTGCAGCCTATCGGAGACCATTAGTGCAGTTCCTGAGTGCAGCCTATCGGAGACCATTAGTGCAGTTCCTGAGTGCAGCCTATCGGAGCCCATTAGTGCAGTTCCTGAGTGCAGCCTATCGGAGCCCATTAGTGCAGTTCACCAGTGCAGCCTATCGGAGCCAATTAGTGCAGTTCCTGATTGCAGCCTATCGGAGCCCATTAGTGCAGTTCCTCAGTGCCGCCTATCGGAGCCAATTAGTGCAGTTCCTGATTGCAGCCTATCGGAGCCAATTAGTGCAGTTCCTCAGTGCAGCCTATCGGAGCCATTAGTGCAGTTCCTCAGTGCAGCCTATCAGAGCCAATTAGTGCAGTTCATCAGTGCAGCCTATCAGAGCCCATTAGTGCAGTTCCTCAGTGCAGCCTATCGGAGCCAATTAGTGCAGTTCATCAGTGCAGCCTATCAGAGCCCATTAGTGCAGTTCCTCAGTGCAGCCTATCAGAGCCCATTAGTGCAGTTCCTCAGTGCAGCCTATCAGAGCCAATTAGTGCAGTTCATCAGTGCAGCCTATCAGAGCCCATTAGTGCAGTTCCTCAGTGCAGCCTATCAGAGCCAATTAGTGCAGTTCATCAGTGCAGCCTATCAGAGCCCATTAGTGCAGTTCATCAGTGCAGCCTATCGGAGCCCATTAGTGCAGTTCCTCAGTGCAGCCTATCAGAGCCAATTAGTGCAGTTCATCAGTGCAGCCTATCAGAGCCCGTTTGTTAAGTTCATCAGTGCAGCCTATCAGAGCCCATTAGTGCAGTTCATCAGTGCAGCCTATCGGAGCCCATTAGTGCGGTTCATCAGTGCAGCCTATCAGAGCCCATTAGTGCAGTTCATCAGTGCAGCCTATCAGAGCCTGTTTGTTAAGTTCATCAGTGCAGCCTATCGGAGCCCATTAGTGCAGTTCATCAGTGCGGCCTATCGGAGCCCATTAGTGCAGTTCATCAGTGCAGCCTATCAGAGCCCATTAGTGCAGTTCATCAGTGCAGCCTATCAGAGCCCGTTTGTTAAGTTCATCAGTGCAGCCTATCGGAGCCCATTAGTGCAGTTCATCAGTGCGGCCTATCGGAGCCCATTAGTGCAGTTCATCAGTGCAGCCTATCAGAGCCCATTAGTGCAGTTCATCAGTGCAGCCTATCAGAGCCGTTTGTTAAGTTCATCAGTGCAGCCTATCAGAGCCCATTAGTGCAGTTCATCAGTGCGGCCTATCGGAGCCCATTAGTGCAGTTCATCAGTGCAGCCTATCGGAGCCCATTAGTGCAGTTCATCAGTGCAGCCTATCGGAGCCCATTAGTGCAGTTCATCAGTGCAGCCTATCGGAGCCCATTAGTGCAGTTCATCAGTTCACTTCAGTGAGGAAGAAAAATTACTTATTTGCAAAATTTTCCGACAGACATTTATGTTTTCACAATTTTCGGTCTTTTTTTGTTTAGTTCCAGTGGTAATTAAATACCAGCAAAATAAAGCTCTATCTGTCTCAAAAGAATGATAAAAATGTCATTTTTTGTACTGCGTAGCATGACCGCGAAACTGTCATTCAAAGTGCGACCCGCGCTGAAAATTGGCCCTGGGCACGTAGGGGGTGAAAGTGCCCTGTAGGCAAGTTTTTTTAACATCTAAAAACAACAAAAATATTTATCTCTGCTACTTACCCTCAGCAGAGCTAGAAAATGTTTTCTTCTTTCTTCACATACCCGCACCTCCGTGTATGCTGCGTGTGTAAACCTTTGTCATGCATCTGTAAACATACACATCAGGGCAACGGAAGAGAGAGGATTTTTTTTTTTCCATTGAAAATAAAGCTTTGTTAGTTAAAAAAAAGACAAAAAAAACTGGCTACTAACTTTTTTAGCTGGCTCCTAGATTCAAAGCTAATTTTTCAAGCCATGCTCTAGGGCAATGTTGTCACCCTTCCTGTCCGCTGTACCCACTTCCATGGGGCTGCACTGATATCATCAAGGGCGCTGTTATCAGCTGGTGGCTAGACATGTCTATACTCCACCTAAAATCCATCTGCAGACACTTCTGGTTGTCACGTGGTGAGGAGAGCAGTAGTTTCAGCAGTATGCGTGTGTCACCGCAGGAAAATGATATGCAAACATTGCTGGAGCCCTCCAGCCACGACCTGGGAGCGTGCGAGGCAACGTGCAAGGATAGGAATCTCCAGCTGACAACACGTTACATCGACTTTGTCCTGAAAGAAAGCTTGTCACTGCACATTGAGCCGGGGGAGCAGTGAGCCAGGGCAGCATGAGGCAGGGGAGCAGTGAGCCAGGGCAGGAGGCAGGGGAGCAGTGAGCAGGGGAGCATTGAGCCAGGGAGCATTGAGCCAGGGCAGCAGTGAGGGGGGAGCAGCAGTGAGCCGGGCAGCATTGAGGCAGGGGAACAGTGAGCCGGGGGAGCATTGAGCCAAGGGAGCAGTGAGCCAGGGCAGCATTGAGGCAGGGGAGCAGTGAGCCGGGGGAGCAGTGAGCCGGGGGAGCGCAGCATTATGTACTAGGAAAAACCTCCCGGATCCCTCACTCCCAGATTGCACTGGTGTCTGTGTCCTGTCCTGCTGTGTTATCCCGGGAGAAACCTTCATAGAAAACCAAATAACTTCATATCCCCCCACCACAGTAATGTTCCCTGCCCCCCCCCTCTTCACATACCTCCCACAGTGCTGCCTTCTACCCACCCCCCACAGTACTGTCCTCTGCCCCCCTCTTCACACACCACCCACAATGCTGCCCTCTACCCCCCTCTTCTCACACCACCCACAGTGCTGCCCTATGCCAGCCCCCCTTCCCCCACAGCGCTGTCTGCTGCCCCCTCTTCACACACCACCCACAGTGCCTCTGCCCCCCCCCCCCCACCACAGTAATGTCGTTTGCTACCCTCTTCATCCCCCCCCACCACAGTAAAACAGTAATGTCCTCCGCCCCCCTCTTCACACACCACCCACAGTGCCTCTGCCCGCCCCCCCCCCCCCCCCCCAGTAATGTCCTTTGCTACCCTCTTCATCCCCCCCCCAACCGTAAAACAGTAATGTCCTCCCGCCCCCCCTCTTCACACACTACCCACAGTGCTGCCCTCTAACACCACCCATATTGCCTCTGCCCCCCCCCCCCCCACCCCAACAGTACTGTCCTCTGCCCCCCTCTCCACACACCACCCAAAGTGCTGCCCTCCGCCCCTTCGCAGTGCTGTCCTCTGCCCCCCTCTTCACACACCACCCACAGTGCCACTCCCCCCCCCCCCCCCCACACACACACAGTACTGTCCTCTGCCCCCCTCTTTACACACCACCCACAGTGCTGCCCTCTGCCCCCCCCCCCTTACCCAGTACTGTCCTCTATCCCCTCTTCACACACCACCCACAGCGCTGCCCCCCCCCCCCCCACAGTACTGTCAAACACACACACAGTACACACAGTACTGTCCTCTGCCCCCCTCTTTACACACCACCCACAGTCCTGCCCTCTGCCCCCCCCCCTTACCCAGTACTGTCCTCTGCCCCCCTCTTCACACACCACCCACAGTACTGCCCTCTGCCCCCTCCCCCCTTACCCAGTACTGTCCTCTGCCCCCTTCTTCACACACCACCCACAGTGCTGCCCTCTGCCCCCCCCCCCCCTTACCCAGTACTGTCCTCTGCCCCCCTCTTCACACACCACCCACAGTCCTGCCCTCTGCCCCCCCCCTTACCCAGTACTGTCCTCTGCCCCCCTCTTCACACACCACCCACAGCGCTGCCCCCCCACAGTACTGTCAAACACACACACAGTACTGTCCTCTGCCCCCCTCTTTACACACCACCCACAGTCCTGCCCTCTGCCCCCCCCCCTTACCCAGTACTGTCCTCTGCCCCCCTCTTCACACACTCCACCCACAGTCCTGCCCTCTGCCCCCCCCCCCTTACCCAGTACTGTCCTCTGCCCCCCTCTTCACACACCACCTACAGTACTGCCCTCTGCCCCCTCCCCCCTTGCCCAGTACTGTCCTCTGCCCCCTTCTTCACACACCACCCACAGTGCTGCCCTCTGCCCCCCCCCCCTTACCCAGTACTGTCCTCTGCCCCCCTCTTCACACACCACCCACAGCGCTGCCCCCCCACAGTACTGTCAAACACACACACAGTACTGTCCTCTGCCCCCCTCTTTACACACCACCCACAGTCCTGCCCTCTGCCCCCCCCCCCTTACCCAGTACTGTCCTCTGCCCCCCTCTTCACACACCACCCACAGTCCTGCCCTCTGCCCCCCCCCCTTACCCAGTACTGTCCTCTGCCCCCCTCTTCACACACCACCCACACAGCGCTGCCCCCCCACAGTACTGTCAAACACACACACAGTACTGTCCTTAGCCCCCCCCCCCACCCAGCACACACACACAGTCTGCAGTCCGTCATTTAGCTATGCCTGCTAGTATTCGGGAGGTAAGTCATGTTTGGATGTGCCTGTCTGACGTTCTGACTTTTGTTCCTTCCAGGGCACCATGGCAGATCCCACCAAACCTCAGAGGAGGATGTCGCGGACCGGATCCTCGTTGTACCAAGTGTTAGGGCTGGAGAAAGGCGCCTCGCAGGATGAGATAAAGAAAGCGTATCGGTAATACTGAGATACCTCCTCCCAGAGGAGCTATTTACATGCAGCAGCCAATCCAATCTCACCTTTCATCAGAGATGTCAGAACATTGAAAAATGAGATCAGATTGGGTGATCTAAGTCACACATTGATCGTCGCCAGTAATAAAATCTGTTTGCTATCTTTGTAGGAAGCTAGCCCTTCGCTACCACCCAGACAAAAACCCCGATAACCCAGAGGCATCTGAGAAGTTCAAAGAAATCAACAACGCCAACACAATTCTGAGCGATGAGAACAAGAGGAAGATTTACGATGAGTATGGCTCCATGGGCCTCTATGTGGCTGAGCAGTTTGGGGAGGAGAGCGTCAAGTACTACTTCCTCATGTCCAAGTGCTGGTTCAAGGTGAGGCCTAGAACCTGGGAGTTGTTTGTTTGAGATCAGGGGTTTGGGTTCCTGGTCATCTTGGTTAAAGTTCCTGGAACTGGGGACTTGACCAGGTCAAGTTGGTTAGAAATTAGGGAATTGAGGAAATGTTCCTGTTCACCTTGGTTATGGATCAAGTGGTTGCGGACTTGTACCTGGTCATGTTGCCTAATGATCAGAAGATTGGGGTCCTTGCCATTTTAGAGATCAGGAAATTAGGGGTTTGTTCCTGGCCATGTTGGTTACAGTTCAGGAGATTGGGGACTTGTTCCTGGCCATGTTGGTTACAGATCAGGGGATTGGGACTTGTTCCTGGCCATGTTAATTACAGATCAGGGGATTGGGGACTTGTTCCTGGCCATGTTGGTTACAGATCAGGGGATTGGGGACTTGTTCCTGGCCATGTTGGTTACAGATCAGGGGATTGTGGACTTGTTCCTGGCCATGTTGGTTACAGATCAGGAGATTGGGGACTTGTTCCTGGCCATGTTGGTTACAGATCAGGGGATTGGGGACTTGTTCCTGGCCATGTTGGTTACAGATCAGGGGATTGGGGACTTGTTCCTGGCCATGTTGGTTACAGATCAGGAGATTGGGGACTTGTTCCTGGCCATGTTGGTTACCGATCAGGAGATTGGGGACTTGTTCCTGGCCATGTTGGTTACAGATCAGGGGATTGGGGACTTGTTCCTGGCCATGTTGGTTACAGATCAGGGGATTGGGGACTTGTTCCTGGCCATGTTGGTTACAGATCAGGGGATTGGGGACTTGTTCCTGGCCATGTTGGTTACAGATTAGGAGATTGGGGACTTGTTCCTGGCCATGTTGGTTACCGATCAGGAGATTGGGGACTTGTTCCTGGCCATGTTGGTTACAGATCAGGGGATTGGGGACTTGTTCCTGGCCATGTTGGTTACAGATCAGGGGATTGGGGACTTGTTCCTGGCCATGTTGGTTACTGATCAGGGGATTGGGGATTTATTCCTGGCCATGTTGGTTACAGATCAGGGGATTGGGGACTTGTTCCTGGCCATGTTGGTTACCGATCAGGAGATTGGGGACTTGTTCCTGGCCATGTTGGTTACAGATCAGGGGATTGGGGACTTGTTCCTGGCCATGTTGGTTACAGATCAGGGAATTGGGGACTTGTTCCTGGCCATGTTGGTTACAGATCAGGGATTGGGGACTTGTTCCTCCATGTTGGTTACAGATCAGGAGATTGGGGACTTGTTCCTGGTAATATTGCAGATTACAGTGTCTTGAAAAAGTATTTCTACCCCTTGAAATTTTCCACATTTTATCATGTTACAACCAAAAACGTAAATGTATTTGTACTTCACTTGGGGCACGTAGAGACAGAAGGTAAGGGAAGTCCTTCCCAGTTGGGATACACAGAGACCGGAAGTAAGAGAAGTCCTCATCCGTTGGGGCACACACAGACAGGAAGTAAAGGAAGTCCTTCCCAATTGGCACACACACAGACAGGGAGTAAGGGAAGTCCTCATCAGTTGGGACACACAAACAGGAAGTAAGGGAAGTCCTCATCAGTTGGGACACACAGAGACAGGAAGTAAGGGAAGTCCTCATCAGTTGGGACACACAGAGACAGGAAGTAAGGGAAGTCCTCATCAGTTGGGACACACAGAGACAGAAAGTAAGGAAAGTCCTCATCAGTTAGGACACACAGACAGGAAGTAAGGGAAGTCCCTCCCAGTTGATACACACGGAGACAGGAAGTAAGGGAAGTCCTCATCAGTTGGGACACACAGAGACAGAAAGTAAGGAAAGACCTCATCAGTTGGGACACACAGAGACAGGAAGTAAGGGAAGTCCTCATCAGTTGGGACACACAGAGACAGGAAGTAAGGGAAGTCCTCATCAGTTGGGAGACACACAGAGACAGGAAGTAGGGGAAGTCCTTCCCAGTTGGAACACAAGAGAAAGTAAGGGAAGTCGTCACCAGTTAGGGGACACAGACAGGAAGTTGGGACACACAGACAGGAAGTAAAGGAAGTTGTCATCAGTTGGGACACAGAGACAAGAAGAAAAGGCAGTTCTTGCCAGGTGGGACACACAGAGGGGAAATAAGGGAAGACCCCCTCAATTGGGACACATAGAAAGAAAGTAAGGGAGTCCTCCAAAGTTGGGACACACAGAGACAGGAAATAAGGGAAGTACTCCCCATTTAGGATACACAGACAGGAGGTAAGAGAAGCCCTCCCCAGTTGCATCACACAAAGGCGGATTGTATTTTGCCTTTCCATGTTGCCTGCCAACCCCCACTCATCAATATGCTAATGCAATTTAAAGTAAAACTTTGTTTCATTACATACCTTGCTTTAGATTTGTGACATCATTGCTGGGTCTTTGTGCTTTTCTAAGCAATGCAGGCAGATCATGGCTGGTGGGAGGGACCGGCAGGGTGCTGTACATGGCTTCCTAAAAACTTCACAGTGCCCTGCCCCAGTGCTCCTCTCAACATCTCTGATGTAATCAGTCGACTTGCACCTGGGAGGAGTTATGCAAATATCAAAATTCCTTGATGTGTGACATGCAGTTTGCATGCAGACCACCTTAGGTTATGCTCACATGTCATGCTAAGCCTCCATAATTGAAGAAAAAAAAAATGGAAAATCCAATGAATGAAAGGGGCAAGCCAGGGACAGGCAACTGGATGTCTTGCAGTCAGGAAATGAGGCTGGCTCTCTCTGACTTGCTGCAGGTTGTAATGCACATTGTGAGAAGCTCACAGTGTGCAGTGAGATCAGTGTAAGACATTACAAGAGGGGCGCCTGTACAACTGCAAGACTGAAGAAAAGGCTAAAGGTCAGATCTAACACCTGCGTGAAATATATATAGAATGTTCTGGAGGTCTATCTGCTGCTTTGGACTCACTGTGTTGATCTTTCTTTTACAGACTCTGGTTTGGACACACTGTGTTGATCTTTCTTTTACAGACTCTGGTTTGGACACACTGTGTTGACCTTTCTTTTACAGACTCTGGTTTGGACACACTGGGGTTTATTTACTAAAGCTGGAGAGTCCAAAATCAGACTCCCTTCTGCATAGAAACCAATCAGCTTCTAACCTCAGCTTGTTCAATGAAGCTTTGGCAATGAAACCTGGAAGCTGATTGGTTTCTATGCAGAAGCGAGTCTGATTTTGGACTCTCCAGCTTTAGTAAATAAACCCCACTGTGTTGACCTTTCTTTTACAGACTCTGGTTTGGACACACTGTGTGATCTTTCTTTTACAGACTCTGGTTTGGACACACTGTTTGACTTTTACAGACTCTGGTTTGGACACACTGTGTTGATCTTTCTTTTACAGACTCTGGTTTGGACACACTGTGTTGATCTTTCTTTTACAGACTCTGGTGATTTGCTGCACTTTGGTAACCTGCTGCTGCTGTTGCTGCTGTTGTGGGTTTTGCTGTGGCCGCTGTAAACCTCCGGAGGAAGACGAGTCTTATAAGTGTGTGAATCCAGAAGACCTGGAGGCTCAGATCAGAGCGGAGGGCGGTGAGTCCGGTGTTGGTGTGGCCAGTATTGGAGGATGAAGTCTTGGTTGTTTGGTGTTTAATGTCTTCACTTTCTCTGCAGGAGAGGAGGTCATCAACGTACAGCCATCTCCTGGAGCTGCTGTCCACCCCGAGCAAAGGAGGCAGAACTGCTAATACTGTGAGTCATGGATGTTATACCTTATTACAGTCCATTACATGGTGCTAGAAGTATTGTGTCATTTTCAGGTCACCCTACTGCCAGTATGTATGTTATAGTTCATTGTAAATGTAACGGAACCGACCCCAGCCTGCGCTGAGTACTTCCGTTAGAATACTGCTTCCCTGTCCGAACACTGACCACAGACACCACAGATTTGAAGTAAGCCAGAAAGCAGACTATTTTATTTGAACACAGATACAAGATATAGACACTCAGGGGACAGTCCCCCCTCACTGCATAATGACACAGGGCGGGGCAATCTACATTTAGTAACAAGAGACACACAGGTATTCAAACTTCACTCCAGCAGACAGTCCCATTAGGGGGGAGGGCTGCCGAGACACCCCCCACTAAGCTAATACACATAAACACATACATCCCATAATAGTTTGCTGCCAAGCCAGACACACAATTGAACAATGGGATGCAACCACATAACTCCAAATAATCAACAACCCCCCAACCCAATATTAGGACAGATCACTCTGTACCCCTAACAGGCACAGGGTGACTTACACATAATAGGGATATGGGGAGCTGAGACAGGGGTCTCTCCACCTCTCCAAAGTGAGCTGTGTTCCATGGGCCCCCCACACAAAGTGACTCGCGTCACAGTAAATTTAGTAGGTTTTCCTGTGTCCAGTAGGTCCACACAGTCTGTCCTGTGTGCACCCATAAAACCTCTTCCTGGTTTCCATCTCTCATCTCTCCACCCATCCTTTTCATCTCTCATCTCCCCTTTACATATATAAACCTACTTCTAGTTGTTCATTTGTCCATCTCTCATTTCTCTTTGTCATTGGCCATCTCTCCTTCCCAGTGTCCATCTCTCATCTCTCCTTCCCAGTGTCCATCTCTCATCTCATCCCTCATCTCTCATCCTGTGTGTCCATCTCTCATCCATCTCCATCCTGGTGTCCATCTCTCATCTCTCCATCCTGGTGTCCATCTCTCATCTCTCCATCCTGGTGTCCATCTCTCATCTCTCTCCATCCTGGTGTCCATCTCTCCATTCTGTTGTCCATCTCTCATCTCTCCATCCTGTTGTCCATCTCTCATCTCTCCATCCTGTTGTCCATCTCTCATCTCTCCATCCTGTTGTCCATCTCTCATCTCTCCATCCTGGTGTCCATCTCTCCATCCTGTGTGTCCATCTCTCCATCCTGTTGTGTCTCTCATCTCTCCATCCTGGTGTCCATCTCCATCTCTCCATCCTGGTGTCCATCTCCATCCTGGTGTCCATCTCTCCATCCTGGTGTCTGTCTCTCATCTCATCATCCTAGTGTCCAGTCTCTCATCTCTCCATCCCCGTGTCTGTCTATCATCTCTCCATCCTGATGTCCATCTCTCATCTCTCCATCCCCGTGTCCGTCTCTCGTCTCGTTTGTCCTGCTCTTAAGTTCATTCAGATAAACTGTCTTACAGTTGTCTGTCTGTCCTGCTATCATCTCTTCCCCTTGCAGTCCTTTTTATTGTTTGTCTGTCTTGTTCCCACCTCCCTCTTCACATGAATCCAAATTCCTTCTTTCCTATTGTATCCTGTCTGTCCTCTCTCATCTCCTCCTGACATTGATAAAGCTTCCTCCCATTGTCTGTCCTGCTCTCATCTCTCCTCCTGACATCTTGATCTCTAAACCTTCCTCCCCTTGTCTGTCCTGCTCTCATCTCCTCCTGACATTGATAAACCTTCTCTCCCCTTTTCTGTCCTGCTCTCATCTCCTCCTGACATTGATAAACCTTCCTCCCGTTGTCTGTCCTGCTCTCCTCTCATCTCTTCCTGACATTGATAAACCTTCCTCCCCTTTTCTGTCCTGCTCTCATCTCCTCCTGACATTGATAAGCCTCTTCCCCCCCTTGTCTGTCCTGCTCTCATCTCTCCTCCTGACATTGATAAACCTTCCTCCCCCGTTGTCTGTCCTCATCTCCTCCTGACATTGATAAACCTTCCCCTTCCCGTTTGTCTGTCCTGCTCCCATCTCCTCCTGACATTGATAATTCCTTCCCCCCCTTGTCTGTCCTGCTCTCATCTCCTCCTGACATTGATAAACCTTCCTCCCGTTGTCTGTCCTGCTCTCATCTCCTCCTGACATTGATAAACCTTCCTCCCCTTTTCTGTCCTGCTCTCATCTCCTCCTGACATTGATAAACCTTCCTCCCGTTGTCTGTCCTGCTCTCATCTCCTCCTGACATTGATAAACCTTCCTCCCCTTGTCTGTCCTGCTCCCATCTCCTCCTGACATTGATAAACCTTCCCCCCCTTGTCTGTCCTGCTCTCATCTCCTCCTGACATTGATAAGCCTTCCCCCCCTTGTCTGTCCTGCTCTCATCTCCTCCTGACATTGATAAGCCTTCCTCCCGTTGTCTGTCTGTCCTACTCACTGCTATTACCCTTCTTCCTGTTGTCAAATGCGTTCCTTCACCTCAGTCTCTGTCTACTCCAAGGTCCCTGGACCCCGTGACTACCTGGACAGCAGCTGTATTGGACGGGATCCCTTTCTCGTCATTTTTGAAGACTTGGATTTAGAGCTCTTGAGGAGAAGGAGAAAAAAATTGTTCTGAAGAGCTCACAGCCCCTTCCACTGATCTGAAAATCCTTCTCCATCTTCTTTTTTGGACTTCACGGCAGAAGGGCAATGAAATCCACCTCGTATTGGTCTGCCAAGTCTCTCTGTCCTCAGAATGAGGGTTGAGGAGCTGCTTCTAGGTGGCAACAAGAAGCAGAGGACACCACACTTTATACATCCCCAAATAAAGACTATCTTTGACTGTCCTTGCCCCTGAAGAGCAGAGAACGTGAACGGGATCCTGGAACGAACCCTCACAATAGCCAGCAAGTTGCCTCTAGAAACCCTTTCCGTCCTGTAAAGCTTGGATGAAATAGTTATAAACCGGTTGGCCCCGGGCTGGCTTGCTCTTTCTGTCTGTTGGGTAACAAAAGGGCTAATGTACCAAACTAAGAGACTAAACCCAGAGACTACGGCCAGACAATCTCACTGTGTAGAAGTTCCTGCTCCAAAGACTCGATTTTTTTTTTTTTTTTTTTTTTCTCCCTCATCCCCCATCAGACTGAAGTGATTCCCGGCCACACTGGGATCCTCCTCCTCAATGTTTTGTATTTGATCCTTCAAAGCTCAATGCCAATGACTGCTGTCCATTGGCCGGCCTGGTGCTCCGGGCAGATGATTGCACTTTTGGAAATGTCTGGATGGCGTTCGTCGAATTCCCTTCCCACTGACGCGGCTCCATTAACACTACCTGGCACTGACTCTTTGTTGTAATCAATTAATGGGCAAGCTTCGAATTGGTTTTTTTTTTTTTTATTGGAGGTCGATCAGAGGCCGTTCCTAAAGGCCAACCAAAAACGTTCATTCATGAAGCATGCAGTGACGGGAGAAGGTCCATTGGAACCCAAAATGCACCTCAGCCCACCAGCAAAGGTTGCAGGTCCTGCCCATTTAACACGATTTACCCCTTCCACTTCCTGCTGAAGCGCCCAAGGCGGCCGCCATTTTTGCCCACCCCTTCGCCCGGCCCCGTCTGTAAATTGGAAAAGAAATCCTGAGCTTTTTTTTTTTTTTTTTTTTTTTATGTGGCCTCACGGTTCTTGTTGGAGAATCTTCACTGTATAGTATCATTTCAATTGTTTCTACTGTTGGGTGAAGCTTCGGTTATAAATTACAGTCGGTCCCGTACTTCGTCGGTCCCGTACTTTCTGCGATCCGTATATCCTCGTACCCCAGACACTTCGAGTCGCGGTCAAACCGTGCGGCGTACACGCGTCCGGCGAGTCTGTTGGGTGGAACTGTGGATTATTGTCCTCACGTAAAGTCATACCCTCCCCCTCCAATGTATTTTCTGCATCCTGTGTGCACAAGGCAGTACCTCGTTTTAGCTTTTTTTACGCTTTTTTTTTTTTTTTTTTCTGGACACCTGAATACTGCAGTTTGTATCGGTTTTGCCAAATGTACCGGTTCTCTCACCAGCACGTGGAGTGCCAACGTAGGAGGGGGCGCTGTGGACTGGTATGGGGACCACCATACAAATGTGTCTGAGAGCTCTGGGTGGAAGGAGATCACTACCTCTGAGTGTCCTGGAGCTTTAATAAAATCACCCACACAAAGCTTGGCTCCTTGTCTTCATGTCAGAGCGAATGGAGGTTTCCGGTAAGGGTGGTGCTGGTGGTCTGACAACTGTGAGGTCAGCATTCGTAACACACTTCCTGTCCTAGGGTGACAACACCTACTGCCTGTGTCTATGGACATAGGACTACAGAACCCCTCCCCTGCTAGAATTACAGCACATACTGTATCTATGAGCAGCGGTGTTGTCATCTTAGGACAGGACTAGGGTCCTCCTCCTTCTCCATAACATAGGACTACAGAACCCCTCCCCCTGCTAGGATTACAGCACATACTGTATCTATGAGCAGCGGTGTTGTCATCTTAGGACAGGACTAGGGTCCTCCACCTCCATAACATAGGACTACAGAACCTCTCCCCCCCGCTAGGATTACAGCACGTACTGTATCTATGGAGCAGCAGTGTTTTCATCTTAGGACAGGACTAGGGTCCTCCTCCTTCTCCATAACATAGGACTACAGAACCCCTCCCCCTGCTAGGATTACAGCACTTACTGTACTGTATCTATGGAGCAGCGGTGTTGTCATCTTAGGACAGGACTAGGGTCCTCCTCCTTCTCCATAACATAGGACTACAGAACCCCTCCCCATGTTAGGATTACAGCACGTACTGTATGTATGGAGCAGCGGTGTTGTGTCATCTTAGGACAGGACTAGGGTCCTCCTCCTTCTCCATAACATAGGACTACAGAACCCCTC